AATAATAATAATAATAATAAAAGAAAAAAGTAAAAAAATGCAATTTTGCCACTTGTCATCTTTTATTAAAAAATGTTGTTCAATGTCCAACATACAGTCAGAGATGAAAACTTGGACAACTTACTACTGGTTCTTTTTTTAAAGAAATGGGTATTTATATGCATGCATAAATAAAACCCATTGCCTTCAAGTAAATTCTCACTCAAGGTGACGCCGTGTGGGTCATAGGAGAACTGCACTCTGTACAGTTTTCAATCCTGATGTTTCGGAAGTAGCCTATCAAGCATTTCTTCTGAACACCATTTGTTCTTCTGGGCTGAATCAATTTCAACTTAGAACAGCCTTTTAGGGCAGAGTAGAACCATCCAATACAGTTTTCTAGACAGAGAGGCTGCTGCCTTAGTCTAAATGAAGGTGAGCTACTAACCCCAAAACAGTATCTCCCTGACCATTCAAGCCTATCAGCATCCCTGGGGGGAAAAAGACAGTTAATCTCTACTAGTGCCATTTAGAACCTTGGAAAACCTGCTGGAAGGTCAGCTGAGTCTATTCCAACTCTACGATGAGTTGAATTTGAATCTTTATGGGCACAGAATGCAAAGTCTTTTCTCCCATGAAATGACTGATGGATTTGAACTACCAGACCTTTGAGTTATCACTTGAATGCTTAGTCATGGTACCACAGGGCTCCTTTGAGTCACCATGAATATATCTGCAGAAGTTCTCCAGTATTTACTCATTAAAGTTTGGAGTAGTTAACTATGCGTGAAAGGGTAATTGATTGTGTTCTTAGGCTTATCTATATTTTGTAAACATTCTAAAGTTAATATACATAAATTAAGTAAAGAGAAAAAGGTTTGAAAAGAAATTATTTCATAAAGAAAAACAGGTCATACAAAGTTCAGCAGTAAGTTGACTACTTAATCAAGAAGAAATTGTAAAGTTACCTACTTGGCTTTTGTAAGTAATGGAAACTGATTTTAAAAATATTGTTAAAGAAATCTTTTCCTTTCAGGTTTCTCTACATGAGTAAATAAGAATAAATTTGCAAGTAGAAGAGACCTAGCATCTTTGAGGATGTCTGAAGAGGAAGAAAAAGTGAAATTACGCCGTCTTGAGCCAGCTATCCAGAAGTTCATTAAGATAGTAATCCCAACAGATCTGGAGAGGTTAAGGAAACACCAAATAAATATTGAGAAGGTGAGTTTTCCCCATTCTCTATCAAAAGAAACAATTAACATAGATATATATTTGGTGTACATTATTAAAATTTATAA